CGCAATCGGATCTTGCGTTGTTTGGGGTCTTTCGAATGTGACAGAAATTGTTCTAGCCGACCTTTTCGGTTTACCAAGGTTTGAATTCGTTGAAATCACTGGAAGAGCAAGTATTCATGTCACCGCTGCGTATGGCAACCTTATTTTTTCAGGCACATTGTACCTAACGGTAGTACAGAAAAGTATTGGAGGCACATTTTGTTGAAGGCGTATGTTTTCCTTTGTTAATATTAATACGTGGTTCTTTGCATAAACAATAGAACTTTCCAGAAGCACATTCTTCGCAATGACTCCATTCTTCATTTCTGCTTTCACAGAGACAGTAAGAGTGAGTAGAGTAGATTTTTGCTATATTCCCTGTGTTTATCTGTCCCTTGTCGTGATGAAAACCTTTGCTTCCAGAGTGAGGCAGGCCTCGGCGGTGAAGGCCCCAACGTAATGGAGGTACTTTTCAAGGGTGTGGATAGGTTGAGGTGAGCGCAGAATAGGGCAGTAATCGCACGATTGGCTTTTGACAACAGAGAATCTGAGGTTCAGGAGTGTTAAATTACTGAATTCATAATATGTTCTTTCCCATTTTTAGGTTTCCAATTTTCGGCGCCCGAGACCCATCTCGTCGCTTTTCTATACTGCATTTGGCATTGCCAACGGTGGCCTACCGAACGTCGCACTACATCATTCAAACGAAGCTGCATTACCAATTTTTCAAAATGGCTCGCAAATATGTGGTTAGTTCAGATATCCGACGTAATAAGCTGTTTACTAGAAATGTGGTGACACTTCCTTTTCAAGAATAAAAAACCTGAATCTGAGCGGACCAAGTTCCACCAATACGTGCCTCAAATATTTGCACAAATGTCTTCAACCATCTTAACCGATCTGATTCTTTTTCCAATTGAGACTATCATGCACAGGATGTACATCCAAGGTTAGTCACAATTTTATAAACTCTTGTGGTTCCAACTCAACCCGGTCTGCCAAGCTAGAGATCTTCTCAAGTGAATCATTTTGTGTCCCATTATTACTTGAATGATTTTGGGGATTCGGTGGATGTTTATATCCACCGCTGTGTGATTTAGGAACTCGAACTCTTATCGACAACCTTGATACCGGTCTTTCTGCTATTTCAATCACTGCGAAATATAGTGGTTTCGCTGATTGCTTGCGATCAGTGCTTCAACACGAGGGATTCTGGGCTTTATACAGCGTACGTAAATTTGTTGAAGTTTTCCCATTAGTCTGATTTTCTCATTAGGGTTTTTGTAGGGAGTCGGAGCTTTAGCACTGGAGTACCTACTTCATTCATTGCTTCATCAAGCTGTGCGTGCTTGCTTTGATAGAGGATCGGAGGTATGCAAATGGTTGTTTTCTTTAGCAAATTGTTCTGAATGCTAATCCTTTAGTTTCATCGTTACAAATTCACAACTGAATTAGTGCAGAGTTCTTTTTAGATTAATAAAGCTTTCGCATTTCAGGTCCTTCGTCGAGCAACTGAAAGCAATCCAAATATCACACCAGTTCCTTCAGCATACGGAGGTTCATTCCTATACGGATTGTCATACGTAAAGGAGCTATAAACAATGTTGGCAGTTTAGGAGCGTTTTCTGGACCGCTGAGAGCATCATCTGGACCACTGTCTGGTCCGTTCACTCAGCCTGTATCGCCAGTAATTAGTCCGAGAAAGTCAGTTCATTACAGCTTTTTATAAAGTTTCTTGGGAAATCAAATTACCTCTGGCCTGGTTCTTCCAGAATCTAATATCTATACCTGCTAATATTGCTGGAATTTCTGGCGGGGAAGACTGGTGAGATTGATGCCAAGAAAACCTACCAGAAACAACTTGTTGTTCTGCATGTGTAAGAGTGCATTTACTATTGCATATTGCATACTGCAGTTCTTGAAATGAGGTTGCTGCCGTATTCGGAGTGCTTGTCAAAGTTCAAATACGCAACCACTGCCGTTCCCACTACAAGTTCAGCATTTGCCAAATTGGCGAGATTTGCTCAAATTGTTCTCCTTGGACTGCTCCATAGTTGTTGGTGTTCCAACATAGGAATTTCTTTCAAATAGTTTTTTTTTCGTTAATAAGATTAGAGGGAGCTGTATAAGAAAAGGTGTAGTGAAATCTTGTCTGACGCACCAGTGTTGATAGTTTGCATCGATACTCGCAACGCGACTAGATTTTGGGTTGCTCGGTCGAGGCAGATTGCGCCTCTTTGACACAGCCTGTAGCGGTTATGGTTGAGACAGGGTGATTTTGCTCGTTCGGCAGGTAGTCGCGCGAGCGCCTGCGAGTAGCCTCATTCCTCCCTTCTATCAACTAAATTGGCACCTGAGACGGATTTCAGACTTGGCATGGCGCTATTGTGACTAGGTGGCAGTCGCGATTGCAAAAATGCAGCTGCGACTGGTGATGGTAACCGCTCTCGATCGGTAGGCTCGGCAGGGTCCGTCACGTGTTTTTTGATTGTTGCGACGTGACCCCAATTGCGTCGCTGTGGCACAGTCGCCGAGTATGCATCATCTGAAAGTGTAGGAAGTTCCTTTTTTTCGTGTATTCGAGTGCTTGTCAAAGTTCAAATACGCAACACACTGCCGTTCCCACTACAAGTTCAGCATTTGCCAAATTGGCGAGATTTGCTCAAATTATTCTCCTTGGACTGCTCCATAGTTGTTGGTGTTCCAACATAGGAATTTCTTTCAAATAGTTTTTTTCGTTAATAAGAATAAAGAGGGAGCTGTATAGAAAAAGGTGTAGTGAAATTTGTCTGACCACCAACGTGTTGATAGTTTTCATCGCATCACCTCGCAAAACGACTAGCATTTTGCGGTTGCACACGGTCGAGCAGATCTCGCCTCTTTGACACACCCTGTACGCAGCTATGGTTGAGACGGGGTGTTGCTAAGTTCGAAAGGAGTCGCGCGGCGCCCTGCCGAGCAGCCTCATTCCCCTCCCTCTCCCTAAACTAACTTGGCACCTGAGACGGATTTCAGACTTGGCGTTGCGCTATTGTGACTAGGTGGCAGTCGCGATTGCAAAAATGCAGCTGCGACTGGTGATGGTACCGCCCTCGATCGATAGGCTCGGCAGGGTCCGTCACGTGCTTTTTTGATTGCGACGTGACCCCAATTGCGTCGCTGTGGCACAGTCGCCGAGTATGCATCCATCTGAAGTGTACAAGTCTCTTTTTCGTGCGTTGTGTTTTGTAAAAAGCGAAACTTTGTTATGTGATGTGAATATCTCGAGGAGTCGCGCCCAGTATGGCCGTATCAGTATCGCTGGAATCGAGCGTTGCGCCAGCGAATCGAACGTTGCACCAGCGAGTCGAACGATGCACCAGCGAGTCGAACTATGTACCAGCGACTCAATAGTGGCGGGACCCAACGTTCAAAGGAAGCCCGCCACTTTCAAACAGTGTCACGTGACAGTGGACCCTGTTTGAAAGTGGCGGGCTTCCTTTGAACGTTGGGTCCCGCCACTATTGAGTCGCTGGTACCTAGTTCGACTCGCTGGTACATCGTTCGACTCGCTGGTGCAAAGTTCGATTCGCTGGTGCAACGTTCGATTCGCTGGCGCAACGCTCGGATCCAGCGAATCGCTCGATTCGCAAACTATGACATCGGCCTATAAACTTTTGAGAGCGGCAAGTTGCGTTTTGCGGCTCTTGCGTATTGCTGAATTATGAGCTAATGCATGTTTTTCAGCATACGCTGTGCATAAGAAATGGTGTAGTGTCGTACACTCTAGATCCTGTCAGATTCTGATCAATTTTTCGCACCTAGTCGGTGGTTCACGGAGCTCCTCCTGTCCATCCCCTCCCCGATACTTGGGTAAGAATGCTCATCTGCTGGCATCTTGGCTCAGAATCGTTCCCTAGCAAAATTCATGGCTGATGCAGCCGATTACAGTTTTATCGAAAAAATGTTTTTCAATTGAGTAGGATGTATCGAACCTTTTAACAAATCCTCTTATCCCAGCATTATCAATGCTATTTTGCCTGTGCTGCTAAGAGAAGTAGAACACTATGGATTGGGTGTGGGTCGCTGGGACAGAAGCGTTTTTTTTTCGCTTCTCACAGCTCGCTTTTCGAGAACCTATGGTCCAATCATGATCAGGAGTGGACCTGGGGTTCCTGAAGAGTTTCGCGCTGCGAGAACCGGGCCCGTATCGTATCCTTCTCCCAGGGTCCCCCGCCGCTGATTCTATCCCAAGCCTGGATAGACAGGGTTGCGTCATAGGACCCGTTATTGAACGCGTAATGTTGTGGCTACCCTCCCCTGTTGCCGCTCTCTTTCTCTTCTCATTTTCTCACTGTCTGGAGTCCAGAAGCGCAAATTATGGCTGGTCTTATGATCAACCCTGTCTCCTTCAGCCGAAGGATAGAATCAGCGGCGGGGACACGTCTCCCTGCGGGAATGATAGGATACGGGCTCCGGAAAAGTCGCCTTTTGTCCGAGCTACCCACATTCCAATGATTCTCCCTGTCCACCCAACTACGTTTTCACCAACTCTAATATATCACGTGTGCATTTTGACAGTCTCCGTGCAAACCTGCGAAGCATCATAAGCAAACGCCACTGTATTACTGTGATAAGCTTAAGAGATTAAAATGCGGCTTTTGTACTGCTTTGCCAATGTTATGTGTTGTGCAGGCAACTCTCGTCGTATACACCTCCACTTCGGGATCCTACGCAATTCCCAACATTTGGCGAATCCATTTCTCAACTGGATTCACCTTTCGCTGCGCCGACACCGCCATTTCCTTTCCAGTCAGGTCGTCCTAACGTGTTTGGCAGTCCACCGAGGTGAGCGCCATGTTCGTTTTCCAGATGCTTTTAGTTTGCTATACAACTAAACTATCTACCATGCCATTTGGTGAACTTTTGCAATGCATGTTGATTTTTAACCTGCCGCTTATACTGTTATGGAAGTTTGCAGACATATGCTCGTTGCTAAGATTGCACGCGCAACCCTTTCTTTTTAGCTTTCAAGGTGTGGCTCGTATATAAAAATTTGTGATGAACTACACTTGAGAGAAGTTTCAAGTTTGGAGCGGTTTGACATATGGGCCAATTGGTTAAACGGGGGGTGGTTGAAGTAAAGTATAATAGTTAATTGGTTGAACTAAAGTATGATAGTTAATTCCGAGATTTCTCCCTAATCTGGCTCCTTGCCTTCGCCAACAAGCTATGTCTTCAAATGCAATAATCTAGCGTAGGAGGAATAAGGAGAATTCGTGAAAGTTTCTAGCTTAGTAGATGCAAACTGTGTTCAGAACCGCCGATCGACCGTCATCTGCAGGTTACATGTCTCCCCTTTCTCTTGTAACGGACAGGCCAGATGATCCATACAATGGCTAGAATATTGTTAAGCCATATTAAGTTAGTCATAATGATATAGTCAAGCCTAGGTAGCATTTTGTTGTGCCAATTGCTTAACGGAGTTGTGAATTAAAATGCTAGCTCTAGCATCTGATGCTATCTGTGTTGTTGTCTTAGGAAGAGCTCGGTCAGTGGTGACCGCAAAGTGCAAGTCTTTGTATAGGAATGTGATCGCTCATATTGTTATAATCGTGGCACAACAATGGAGACAAGAAATTGGTTTCATTGAGCAACAATGTCATTTGTAAGCTCTCTTGCCATTTGCTGGCCAAGAGGTTCCTGAAATTAGACGGTGACGTTTATTTGAGCATCATTTTCAACACTTACTGTACTGCATTTGTTTATTTTTGAATAAAGATTCCTATTAGTCTGGGTTTTTTGAAAGACGTACTCTTTGGTCGTCACCATATCTGTGGCTTTACCTCTAGTGCATGCAATTCGTGCATTTGTCTTTCTTCAACTCTTAAGGGTGGTTGCTCGTTAGGGCAGAGAGCGACTTATCGCTTTCCGCAGGTGCGGAACTACTTCGTTGCAGGAACCTCAGCTTCATCCCTGATCTTGGGTGGACAAAGGTTCCTGTAGTGGAAGAGTTTCGCGCTGCCGAACGCTAAAAGCGGCCCACACCCTATAATTCACTTTTTTCTTATTTAGAGAACAGTACCTTGTTCCGCTGTAAAACTCACCTTTTTTGGAAATGGGTGATAATTGGGGTAAGTGGTGGAAGCTCCTTTTTGAAATTGTTGGTGAATACAACTTTCTTCCGTAACTTGACTGATTGATGTGTTAAGATGATGATGACTTCGAGCCTGAGGTTCAATCTCTGGCCCCACCACCTGCGGTGATCGACACAGTTCCTGAACCCGCACCAGTGGCGCCGCCTGCACCAGCGGCTAAGGCGCAAAAGAAGGTTGGTTAACTGAGTTCTGCGCTGAACAGCTCGTAATTATTTATGATATCAGAGTAACGCACTTAACATGGACAGCTTTTCCCGGGAATTATCGGCAGCAGAAAGGGAGGAAATACAGCGACGGCAAGAGCTCGCACTGACTTTAGAAATGTTCGGAGGTTGGTCTTGTCCGAATGCATTGGATCTCTGAGTCTCCATTTAAACTTATTGCTATCAGCTATTGTTATGTTTTTCAGAGAAGCCATGTACTGGTGACGAGCGACCTTACAGCGATATCCTCACAAAAGACGAATTTGAAGACTGGGGCCTAAAGGTCTGTATTCTTTCTCTACAATTCATGTGTTTGCTCTCAGGTATTTGATTATAGGTCGGCACATTCCTAGCAACACGGCATAAAGCTGCACACTATGGCGACATGCTCAACAAACTAATCCAAACTGTTGCGGAAAACTGTAAATCATTTTGCTTGTTTTTAATTTTATTTGCAGCATACATGATCGTTGTAAGCTTAGAATAATTTGGAACTCAACAAGATTTTTTGCCTCCAGTAAACACAAGTAGGATTGTGTGATTGTTCTTCCTAAAAAATTCCTCAACCTAAAAAGTGGGTTGGAATATCGAAAATGAATGCTTTTTGACAAGTTCCCGAATCGTTACCTTGAAGAGAGTTGAAAAACGTCTTCCTCTCATGATCTTAAAATGTTCTGTTTCAGTGGAGGCATCCGAGCTACGAACGATGTCAAATTATTTGAAAACTCTGGCAGATTCGAAGAAGGCAGCAGATAAGGTTGGGATATTGCTCTTTCCCATTGAGCCTTCATGTCATACTCTAATAGGAAAACCAATATCACGTTGTGAATTGAGGTACTTCAGGTGAAACCTGTCCCTGGCACAAAGAAAGCGCCAAAAGCAACGTTGAAGGTTACTAAGGCCAGCAACAAGCAGGTCTATGATGATTATGATGCGGCTGGTATGTATTTCCAGGGTTTCATGCTGATTTGACGTTTTTTGAATTTTTCAGACATGTTTTATTTCAGATGATTTTGATGACTACGACGATTTCATGTGATATCTCGTAGCTTTCTTTTATGTTTTGTGATGTCTGTTGGTGTTTTCCTTACTCTTTAGTAGTTCGTTATGCTTTGCTTTTATCACCGGTTTTGTTGTTATTCTTCGTCTGTTGTGCCTATTGAAGCGATATTACTTCGAGCTGCTATCTCCACATCGGTACGAAAAAGGCTCTGAATTGTATTTGCCGTACACTATATGGTTACAGTTTTACTCGGTCGCTAAGAGGAGATAAAGATTATCTATGGGAACTGTGTGTTGTTTAATCGTGGGAAGTTCCCTTGAATACTTGCAATGTTCGTATATTCAGTCTTCATTTCTTTTACATGATGTCAACCTTTTAATAGGATCGATTGTGGTTCAGTAGCACGTGGCCCGAGCCTCAACTTATGCATCTTCAGCATTTGTGATAAGTGAGTTTTGCTTCATTGCCCGGTAGCGGCTTCAATTTTATTGCTCTTATCCGATTCGCGTTACGAGATCATTGAGATAGCTAGGTCGAGCACTGAGAATAAATGATTCAATTTTTGTTTGTATTCTCTATTTTGGTATGAAAACGGGCCACGGTTGAGGCGAGAAGAAGAGACGCTAGTGCGGGAACAGTTTTATTTTTCCCGAAGTTTCTACCCCCTTCTAACCTTAGTTCTAGAGGGTGTCTTGCAATAGCGCGCTCTTTCATTTTGGGTAGCTGAGTATCCAAAAAATGGTTTACGGAAAGCAACATGTGTTTGATTATCGATTGTTATCGCTTTTTAAATTGATCGGAAATGACTCACTTTTATGAGAGCTCTCGTGGGCGGCATGACCGTTCCTCAGAAACGCTGGATTCAGAGTCAATCCGGCAGATGTTAGAGGATGGCGAGCTGGATACGATGCGTTGGGAGGACGACGACATAGGTTGGATATTTGAATGAGTTGCAATGGGGTGTGCATCCTAGGAGAAAGAGGACTTTCGCAAACGTGCGAAATTTGTGTTCGTGCAGAGGCTAGTTTGATGAGTGATCAGGTTTTTTAGACTCCCGCAGCGAAATGATTAGGCTGCGAAGGCGCGAAGAGTCGCATTCTGCCTTAGTGAACCGCCCGTTTAAGTACTTCCCTTGACAATGTACACAAGATGTTCCGCTGCTTGAGCATGTGCGTTGTGATCCAATAGCAGACTGCCGTACGATAAGCTTACAGCCCAAGAGCTGGTGTGCTTTCCCGATGTGACCGATGCGAAAGCCTCCACAAATTTGTACCTGTTCATTAGAAACAAGATAGTAAGTTGCAGAGAGTGTAAGACATATTGGTTTTACAGTTTCGGTGGTTGATTGGAAATATTTCAATTTACTTTTTAGTTGCAACTTTGGCATCTTGAACCCAATGTGGAACTTACAAGTGCAAGATGCAATGTGGAGAACTTCCTGGGTTCTTCACAGTAGTACTTCACAATGCGCCAGAAAATAGGTTTGAAGTAGGCTAGGACCCTTACTGTTGACGCCATGAACCTGTAGATACAATTCAGTTGCAGGTGATCGAAGTATGTGGTGTTCTCGGTTGTCTGCAAACGTTTACGGCTTCATCAACTTCGGGAACTTCCACAGACTAGATGTATGTGTGTGAAATATCTACTTCTTCATGAAATTTCATAATGCAATCTTGGAGTTGCCAATTTTAGCTACTTTGGTTCTTACTTCAAAGCGAAAACGAGTCATCATCATTGGTGCAGGCGCGGCCGGTATCGCGGCCTTGAAACAACTTCACTTTTTTGGATTTGATGTGGTATTATTAGAAGCACGAGTGGGTTTTCGTTTTGTTTTATTGCTGGAAATAACCATGTATTTACTATTTTTTTTTGATATTAGCATGTTGTCATGGGTTTGGTTGTATATATCAGTGAGGAATATTGCTTGACTTTGTGTATCTTCCTTTTTTTTCTCTTTTATTGTATTTTGTAAAAATGGTACCGGACTACTTGAACTAGCTTCAGCGCCTGCTGCGTTTCCGCGGACCCCCTTCTCTTCAAGCTTGTATCTAGGATTTACGTTTGTAGTATCTTGTGTCTAGCCATCGCGGCAGGAATTGAAGAATCACGTAGTGCCCGTTTAAAGTTTGTATATATCTGTTGGGATGATCCGAGTCTGAACGAACATCAGTAATTTCTGCTATTTTATTTATTTTATATTCTCATATTTTAGAAACGGCTTGGTGGTCGAGTGCATACATATCATCAGAAGGACTCCAATATTGTAGCAGATTTGGGTGCTATGGTTGTCACGGGAATAAGTAAGTTCATTTTTGGGAATTTCATTCACACGACGACCACTTCACCGTTTTTGCTCTCATTCTGTAAGGAAAAGAATTCCATATCCAGCGCTATGGGGGTATAGGAGTTATGCCGTAGTGTTTTGCACATACAAAGGTGAGACAAAGTCCTATATATGAAGTTGTGGAAGCTGCCGTAAAGTTATCTGACATTCCTTATAGGTATGAAAGATGCGTCGTATCCCAAGATATCTCGCCTTTGTGAGTTATACCTTCATTTGTTTCATGGCACTGGGAAGTTGGCAAATCTTTGTGCGATCACCTGTGGTCGATATGAGAGCGCAACTAATCCCCCTATAGGATTCCACTAGCGATGTATGCTACTTGGAATCCGAATAAATTTGGTAATCATGATGTTTCAGATGGGAACCCTGTGGTGACGATGATGCGGCAAACACAGTGCACTCCAATTCGAATTGCACCGGATTGTCCGATTTATGATGAATATGGCAAATTAGTTGACCAGCGGAAAGACGAGCTTGTTGCAGAAGCTTTCAAGTAAGAGTTTTTGCTGTTTATATCCCTCCTTTTTCAAGCTAACTAGCTAATAATCTCACCTAATGCGTTATGCTCTGCGCTATTTCTACGATTTCTAGATAAATAATTAAATACTGGATGTGAAAATGTGATGTGAAAATGTTTATGGACATTTGCAAATCTAGGTCTTATAAGGTTAGGTGAGAATTTTTTCTCAAACGTCGGAGGTAAACACCGTATCTTAAAGCAACAGTCTCAGCAGGGCTTTTACCTTCGATGCTAATGGTGTGGAACAATGCGCTAGCCCTAGTCAAGGAGGAAGAAGTATGGTTGTACAAATTCACCTTGGGAAGCTGCCAGAAAGGGAGCTGAACCGCTTCGAAGGGGGCGGGGGTGGGAATTCACCCAGGGGATGGG